CAACAAATTGCCTACAGTTTTGCTTTCTGAAAAACAGACAAACAAAAGACATTCTGTATGACTTAGAAGATTTTTGAGAAATGGGGATTCCAGAAATGTCCTCATAATGATTCACAATCTACTTGTTACCATACTTAAGTAAATCAAACTTGGGTGAAAGTACCAATACTTGCCTAAAAATATGGTAGAGTAAAAGTATCTGTTGTAAACATTACTTAAAGTATGAGTAAAAAGTATACCTTTCTAAAGTACTCCAGAGTAGTGGATATTACGTTGTAAAAAGCTGATGCGTATACATGTAATTTGTGCATGTGTGTGTAAACGTAACATTTTGTAGTGCACTTAGCTATTGCCCAGCAGGCACACAACATCATCAGACGTCAATATTAGGTTAGATTTAAGTTGTGATGTCAGGTGACCAAAATTCAATGTCTAGCCAGCTTCTAAAGATGTTATTTAGTTTTCCAATAATAAGGTCAATAGACGTTGATATTTGGTTGATTTTAGGTTATGTTGGAAAGTGACCAAATCCAACGTCAAGCCAACATCTTAAACCAACGTCATATTGACATTAAATACTGACATTTTTGCATTAGGCATAGCAACCAAAATCCAATGTCTGATAGACGTCATAGTGATACAACCATACAACGTCCATACAAGATCCATACTAAGATCTCTCAAGAAATATAGTCCACAGTTTTTAATGACTGAACTTAGCAAGGTTTACTGGTCTCAGGTCTTGCAGTGTGATGATGTAGATATGGCTTAGGCAAGGTTTAAGACAAACTTTTTAAAAGTTTTGGATAAAGTTGCACCTTTTAAAAAAATAAGAATTAAGCAAAGGACTGAACCTTGGATGAAGGCTAGTATTTTAAAAAAGATAGTAACAATTTATTTTATTATAAACAATTTAAAAAGAAAGGGAATGAAGTTAAAGATGAGATAAAAAAAGCTAAAAATATATTTTTTTGAGGATAAGATAAAAGAAACTAAGCAAGATTCGCAAAAATTATGGAGATTATTAAATGATTTAGGGCATCAAAAAAGTCTAAAACTAATTGATCTAAAATTAGCCTTATGGTGGATGGAAAATTTATGTCGGATCAGTTAAAGGTTGCTAATTATTTTAATAGATTTTTTATAACAGTGGCAGAGAAATTGGTTAAAAAGCTCCCAGTACAAAAAAGTTTTTTAATGATAAATTAGTTGTAGATTATTATGCCAAATGTGGTTTTAATTTAGGAAGTTTTGTTTTCAATAAAGTAGATGAGGGGAATATATTTAAGAAATTAAAAGCATTAAAAAAATAGTAGAGCAACAGGGTTAGATAATATACCAGTGCAGTTCCTAAAAGACTCTGCGAAATTTATCTCTCCAATGGTTACACATATTATTAATCTTTCTATTTGTCATGGTAAAGTTCCAGATGAGCTAAAACAAGCAAGAGTTATTCCTCATTTTCAGAAAGGTTGTAGATTTGATGTTAATAATTATAGTCCATTCCAAAATTTGTTCTATAGAGTAAAGTTTTTAGCAAGACAGGCAGTGCTCCTAGATACCAAAACTCTAAAAATTTTAGCTAGTGCATTAGTGCAGCCATACTTTAACTATGCTGCAGCTTTTTGGTACAGCGGTAGTTCTAAAATAATGAAAAATAAATTGCAGACAGCCCAAAATAAGTTGTGTAGAATTATTATGAAAGTTCCTCCACTGACACATTTTAATAAGGAACATTATAGTCAAAGTAATTTTTTAAAAGTTGAGAAGAGGGTAAAGTTTTTAAAATAAGTGATGGTTTTTAAGAATTCAAAGAAAACGGTCCCAACATATTTTCTTAATTATTATGTTTTAGTCAACGAGGTGCACAGTCATTCTACAAGAGCATGCAGCAGGGATATTTACCCATACAGATTCAAGAGTGAATCAGGTAGAAATTCTTTTTTGTGTACGAGCTCTGCTGCTTGGAATATTTAGCCCACCATTTTTAAAGAGATTCAAATTGAGAGTGTTTTTAGAAGGGAAATTAAAAAGTGGTTGTTTAAAAGTTGAAGTTTTTTGCTGTGCCAAGTTGCTGAGCTGTTGATGTTTGCAATCCACTAATGATTTGCTCGTCCATTTTTTAAGAATATTCGAGGACCACAATGGAAATAAGCCCGCAGCTTTTTTGTGTATTTTATCCTCGACAGTTTTTAAAATATGTATGACTGGACTATTAGTCTAACTGGACTTGTTTGTATATATTTTTGTAAATATGTCAAATAAAATCAATCAATCAATCAATCAAACTGCAACATTATTAGACGTTGATATTTGGTTGATTTTTGGTTGGATGTTGGACAATGATGTCAGCCTCACATTGAGTCCTGACATCAACCTGATTTTCATTTCCAAACAAAATGCAACGTCCCCATGATGTTAGGGTACATTGTCAATCTGATGTCATGTTGATGTCTTGTGCCTGCTGGGTGTTTAAGGCCATTTCGGTAATCATACAGTAAACATCCATCATCTTCTCATCAGTGACATGCATCCAAACAGTCTCTGGGTCATTAACTGCAAAAAATTTAGAAATCTTCTTGAACACTTGTAATGATTCGAAACTGTTTGCTGCAATTATAAATCGCTGATGTCTTGAGGTTGTTCGTTAGGTTGCAATTACACTGCATTATGTCAGATACACGCCTTGTTGACCTGGTGATCATTAAGATGACAAACATTTAAAAAGGTGATGAAAAAATTACAAAGGTAACCAAAGAAATTAGACTAAAAAGGGTTTACACAGTGGCACAGTGGGTAGCGCTGTCAGTTCACAGCAAGAAGGTCGCTGGTTCAAGCTTCAACTGGGTCAGTTGGCATTTCTGTGTGGAGTTTGCATGTTTTGCAGCATTCACGTGGGTTTCCTCCGGGTGCTCCGGTTTCCCACACAGTCCAAATACAGGCGCTAGAGGTGAATTGGGTAGGCTAAATTGTCCCTAGTGTATGTGTGTGAATGAGAATGTATGGGTGTTTCCCAGTGATGGGTTGCAACTGGAAGTGCATCCGATACGTAAAACATAGGTTTGATAGGTTAGCGGTTTATTCCACTGTGGCGACCCCAGATAAATAAAGGGACTAAGCCAAAAAGAAAATGAATGATTGAATATTTAAAAATATAGGAATGCAGAAAAGCAACAATTTTGAAGGATCATAACACACATGAATGAAGACATGATTATACTGGCACCTTCTTTGAAGAACAAGGCAGCTGGATGGTGCTTGGTTAAGGGTCTGAAAACAAAACACTGGTTGATTTAATGTAGGTGAGCCCTTTCATGAAAGCATGTGACCATCATTTTCCATCTAAAATGGGAATAGCTTTCAACGAAAAGCAAATTACACAATAAACTTCAAAATATAAGAAATGTATTCATAAAATGTTTTGTTCCAGTGGTAATTTTGAGCAAAATTTAGATTTAGTTTAATTGTAGTCTTTAGACATATTTGAGTCTTCTGAATCATTTTAGTTTTACTCTAGTTTTAGTTTACTGAAATATATTTGGTTTCATTTAAATGTAATTTAATTAAATACTGAAAAAACTTATATATATATATATATATATATATATATATATATATATATATATATATATATATATATATATATATATATATATATATATATATATATATATATATATATATATATATAAATATATACAAATTAGATATGCATTGTTTATAAGTAATATGTAAAATTATGTGTCGGCAATCAATCCACATGTAAGAACAGTATAGCCATCTGAAAATGCAGATTTGTGCAATTATTTATCATTCATTCATTCATTCAATTTCTTTGTGGCTTAGACCCTTTATTAATTTGGGTTGCCACAGGGGAATGAACCACCAACTTATCCAGCATATGTTTTATGCAGCAGATATCATACACTACGGCAAACTTAGCCTACCTAATTCACCTGTACTGCATATCTTTGGACTGTGGGGGAAACTGGTGCACCTGGAGGAAACCCACGCAAACACAGGGAGAACATGCAAACTCCACAAAGAAATGCCAACTGCCCCAGCCGAGGCTCAAACCAGCAACCTTCTTGCTGTGAGGCAACAGCACTACCCACTGCGCCACTGCATCGCAATTATTAATCAAACCCTTGATTTTAACGTGGTAAACTACTAGTCTTTTAAACCAATTTGTTGAACAGTTTCAAGCCATTATGTCTTTGAAAGGGCTTAGTTAAAGTCCACTTTGCAATGTCAGTCTACTAAGCTTTGCTTTTGTAGTTGGTGTTACGGTAGTTGGTGCTCAGCTGTAAAGCACTGATTAAATAAGTAGAGTAATGACATTTGACTGGCAAATGATAATGTGTCACATATTATTCAGCCAGCAGCTACTGTAGCTCTCTGCAACTCCCACATGATTGCCCACTGAAGTTAAGCAGGGCTGTGCCTGGTCAGGACCTGGATGGGAGACCACATGGGAAAGCTAAGTTGCTTCCTTTGAGCGTCATCTTTTGGATGAGATGATAAACCGTGGTCCCGACTCTCTGTGGTTGTGAAAAAAGAGTAGGGTTTTCTACACTCCTCTGTCCATCATGGCCTCCTAACCATGCCTATGTTATAATTGATTTCATCACTCTGTCAGATGGATTCTGCACACTAGTAGTGGATGAGGACATTCCCCCCAATTTGTAAAGCCCTTTGAGTGTCTAGGAAAGCACTATATAAATGTAAGAAATTATTATTGATTGTTATTACAACATATAATACGTCCCTCAATCACATTCTCATCTTGTTTTTATTATTCATGGAAAATATTAGTATATTTTTATTATATTTCTCAACATCATCACTTCATCTTTATTTAGTTTTCATCTAGTTTATGTTGGTAGAAACTTGTTTGTCATGAAAATTATGACAAAATATTTTTGTCAACGAAATTAACATTGTTTTGGCCAATAAACTTGCATGAAAATTCTAAAAACACATATAAATCATGTTTGTTCTATGCCTTTATTTACATTTTATTATTGTTATTTTTTATTATTCAATTTAATGCTAGTTGTAATATGTTTCCAAGCACCATATTATAACATGGATTGATACACAGAAAGAATGTGCAACACAAATGCAATTACTAACAGCTCTGCTCTTACACATTTAAATACAGTGCATATACTGTTACATAAACTAATGTATGACAACATGCCCGGGTCATTTTCACCCCGAAAACAGTCTAATAAAAAAAAGATTTTATGCTTCTTAAAGTAAAAATGAAGAGATTTTGCTGCCAAAATCAGTGGACACAACAGAATATAAGAAAATAAAAGTAAAAGAATACAAAAAATTAAAGAAAACAAATAGAGTGCTCAGCATAACAGAGTACATGCCATTTTCATCCATTTCTCAGTGAATATTGGCAATGTATTCTGGTGCACAAATTTATTAAACAGATATATTTATTAAAATAATATTTTTGTCACCAAACATATTTAGAAATTGAAAGATAATACAATTAAATTCATGCTAAATATCGTTAAAAAATTACAAACTACAAAATTTCAACTAAATCATTACTAAATCAAAATGTTTTTGCTCCTCTTGATTTTTTCCTCTTTTTAAAATTTGTGTTTAATAATTTTCTGTAACATAAATTTGGGTGCACTGGTTCTTGGATGGTGTAGGCTTCTTTGTTAGATAAGCTTCAGACTTGGCTTCAGTACTGCCTAATCTAATGTATATGCACAAATATAATATTCAATAGCTTCCTATTAAAAATATGAATTTAAAAGATAGATTTGTGAGGGGTGTACTTATATATGCTGAGCACTGTATACTGTGAAATGTGACCAGGACATGTTTTATTAAATGTGCGATTTGCAGAAATCACCCAAACCCCATTGACCCAACCACCCATTCAAAAAATAGCTCTAAAAATCTTTGACAAAATATATACATGTAATATAAAAAAGTACATACGTCATTGAACACAGAATGTTCACAAGTTCATAAAACATTTTAGTGTGAAATTTTCAGTCTGGCAATACGTCTGATTTGGTGTCTAGCTCTTGAGACTTCCACTTTCAATGAAATCCAATGCGAACGAGTGGAAGTTAAAGATCTCTGTTAATGCCCTGTTCTCCATTCTCCTCCGATGTCCTCATTACGAAACGCTTGTGTTCTGTGAAAGGAACTTGTTCTCAATGTTATCTGCGCAGCTAACCAGACACATGTCTTTCAGTGTGCTCATGAGCATCTGGATTTGGTCATACGGCACAACATTGTTCCCTCCTCCACTGCCACCATCACTCCAAACTTTCAGCATCTGATACTGGGCGTCCTTGCAGTTCCGGTGGTCATGTTCTGCCCGGTCAATGTTCTGCTCAGAAACTCCAAGCCGACGTACAAGCTCTTTAAATCGTCCGATAGGGACCTCGTCCAGCACAAAATAGAAGAACTCGTGAACTGCAAATAGCAGAAGAGACACGAATCATTAAGCACCATTACTCAAGCCTCCAGGGGTTTGTGTTGAAACAAATAAAAAAGACATACTTTTGATCTCTCTTGGGATGCAGTCTGGGAGATTCCCTAGAGGTTTGGATTCACATGGCTGATTTGTGAATGATACGCTCTTATTTTTTGAGTCCTGCACTACAGTGATGATGAATGCCTGTGAGGAACAGCAAAACCATAAATGAACACTGGTCAGTTAGAGCATAGGATGTATCTCAATGTATGATATTGAGATAGATGGCATACTTGAAGGTACTGGGAAAATCTTATGGATTAATAATTATTAAAACATAATTATTAAGAATATTTCTCTGAAACGAAATCGTTGTGTTTCAGCAAGCAAAATATTAAGCTTGACTAAAAGATGAATAAGAACAAAAAGATAAGTATTTCATATTGAATATACAGTTGAAGTCAGAATTATTAGCCCCCTTTTGATTTTTTTCTCTTTATATATTCCCCAAATGATTTTTAAAAGAGCAAGGAAATTTTTACAGTATGACCGATAATATTTTTTCTTCTGGAGTCTTATTTTTTATTTCGGCTAGAATAAAAGCAGTTTTAAATTTTTTAAAACTTATTTTTGAGACAAAATTATTAGCCCCTTTGAGCTAATACTTTTTTCGATAATCTTCAGAACAAACCATCGTTATACAAAAACTTCCCTAATAGCCCTAACCTGCCTAGTTCACCTTATTAACCTTGTGAAGCCTTTAAATGTCACTTTAAGCTGTATAGAAGTGTCTTGAAAAATATCAAGTAAAATATTATTTACTGTCATCATGACATAGAGAAAATAAATCAGTTAATAGAAATAAGTTTTTAAAACTATTATGCTTAGAAATGTGCTAAAACAATCTTTCCTCTGTTAAACAGAAATTGGGGAAAAAATAAACAGGGGCACTAATATTTCAGGGGGGCTAATAATTCTGACTTCAACTATATATATATAGTTGAATATATATATACACACACACACACAGTTGAAGTGAGAATTATTAGCCCCCCTGTTTATTTTTTTCTTCAATTTCTATTTAACGGAGATATTTTTTCAACACATTTCTAAACATAATAGTTTTAATAACTCATCTCTAATAACTGATTCATTTTATCTTTGCCATGATGACAGTAGGTAATATTGACTAGATATTTTAAATGACACTTCTATACAGCTTAAATTAACATTTAAAAGCTTAACTAGGTTAATTAAGTTAACTAAGCAGGGGTGCATTTCCGAAAACCATTGTTAGCCAACTAAGGCTGCAAGTTGTGTCATTACAAACATAATTCGTTGATTTGTTGTTTCCCAAATCCATTGTTCCAACAAACATTCGCAAACTGCGTCACAAACTTCCATGTTTAAAATTACACCTCTAGCGCTGTAGTTAGAAATATAGTTCATCATGGCTGTGTTCTATTCCCAGTTATCCCCCCAATGCCCTATACATTCAGAACATTCTAACATTTAAACTTGGAATGGGGCTAAAATTTTGACCTTAAAATGTTTTTTAAAAAATTAAAACTGCTTTTATTCTAGCCAAAATAAAATAAGTCAGACTTTCTCGAGAACAAAAAAATATTATCAGACATACTGTGGAAATTTCCTTGCTTTGTTAAACATAATTTGGGAAATATTTAAAAAAAGAAAAAAAGTTCAAAGGGGGGCTAATAATTCTGACTTCAACTGTATATTTATATATTAGGGCTGCACGATATTACATATCAATAAATTGCGGAGGTTTTTTTCTGCAACATATATTGCGATATGAATACAATTTCACTTGATGAGTTTAATAACCATTTGGAGGAATTGGGATTCAAAAATCGGTTGGGATGATGATGAATACATATGCATAAAATACAAGAAACAATCTATAAGGGTAGATAAAATCAATAAAAGATAACAATTAAAAAAGTTACAAATAGTAACTCAGGTCTCCAAAAACACTTGCAAAAGGATAAATTATAATCCAGACTCAACATTGTGTATACTTGCGATGTGACTATTGCAAATGATCACATTCTTATATCGATGCTGAAGCGATATTGATATTTTTCAGTCCCAATGTATACACAGGTGAAGTCAGAATTATAAGCCTTCCTGAATTATCACCCCCTGTATATTTCTTTTTAATAAAAATATTTTTCAACACATTTATAAACATAACAGTTTAAATAACTAATTTTTAATAACTGATTTTTTTTTTTTGCCATAATGACAGAACATAATATTTGACTACATATTTTTCAAGATGCTAGTGTTCAGCTTAAAGTGACATCTAAAGGCTTAACTAGGCTAAGTAGGTTACCTAAGCAAGTTAGAGTAATTAGGCAAGCCATTGTATAAAAATTGTTTGTTCTGTAGACTATCAAAAAATGATATTGTTTGAGACAAGGCCTAATAATACTGACCTTACATTTTTTTGAAAAAAAAAAAAAAACTAAAACTGCTTATATTATAGCCAAAATAAAACAAATAAGACTTTCTCCAGAAGAAAAAAATATTATAGGAAATACTGTGAAAAATTCCTTGCTCTGTTAAACATCATTTAGGAAATATTTAGAAAAGAACAAACAAAATCACTGGATGGCAAATAATTCTGTGTAGATCAGTGGTATCCAAACTCGGTCCTGGAGGGCCAGTGTCATAGTGAGTTTAGATCCAACCCTAATCAAACACACATGAACCAGCTAATCAAGCTCTTAGTAGATATACTAGAAACTTCCTGCAGGTGTTTTGAAGCAAGTTGGAGCTAAACTCAGCAGGACACCGGCCCTCCACGACCAAGTTTGGACATGCCTGGTGTAGATAATACAGTTTTGGTGATAATTACGAAAACAATTTGAGAATTACGATGGCAGTTTTTATACATGCAGAATAGTTTAGCTCTTATGATATTATAATTGTCTTTTCTTTTTTTTTTAAATTAGGGGTCCTTGGATTTGCTAATAACGCAATAGCATATAAATTAGTATTTATCATTAAAGTGAATCATCTTCTGTGAAAACATCATTACAGCAATTATGCGTTTAGCATCAGATGTGAATCATTCACACTAAGAAGAAAATGCGAGTTCTTTGTCAGCATTTGTCAAATGGTAAGCCTTTTACCTCTTCTTCTGTAGCAGGTGACGATGACTGAGATGACGAAGCTTGTGCCCTCTTCCGCCAATGTCTGATGCCTTCGTATGCCATAAAAATGGCTAACGATAGAACCATGATACTTGCACAAACAGGAACTACTATTTTAGGTACCGTGTCTGAAACATTAACACGAAGAGTTTAAGCAACATTAAATAGACCTCAGCATTATCTCTTGCCTGAAGACACATGTTGTTTTTAACCCAAAGAGAGACTTGCTTAGTCATGGCAAGGCAAATTCAACAGAATATAAACGCTAGAGGGACTTTCCAAATGACTCATGTTTTTGATTTTAGTAATAGTTCAATTCGACAAAACTTGAGAAGAAAAGGAGTCATCTGTCTGGCATCCAAAACAAGAAAAAAAGAAAACTGACATCTACAACTGACTGCTTTTTGGTTCACCTGTGATAGACCCAAATGTGGGATAGATCTCATGCTAATGGATGTTGTTGGGTACACAGTACTCACCTTCAGGACTATTTGACTTAGTAGATGTAAAAAAGACTGGGGGAATGCTGGTTTTGCATAGGTGATCACATCCTGGCTGACATCTATAGGGAATTAAAAACACATTATTAAATATGTTCATTATTTTGTTCACCATGTCCAGTAGTGAATAAAGTACACAAACCAAGTATTTGAAAATTTAAGTAAAATAACAAAATTATTTGCCTTCACAGGTACTTAAGCATAAAAGGAAAAGTACTGTGCTCAACATAACTGAGTAAAACCCATTTTGAAAATGAATATTTCTTATCCATTTCTCAGTGAACATTTGATGCATTTAAGCAAAACAAATTTATTAAACAGATATATTTATTTTTAAAAAATATTCTAGTCAGCAAACATATTTGGAAATTGAAAGATAATACAATTAAATGCAAGCAAAATACTGCAAAAAAAGATTCAAAACCCCAACTAAGTTTGTTTTTTTTTTTTTGCTTCTCTTGTTTTTCCTCTTTTTAAAATTTGCATTTAACTTTTTTTCTATAACATAAATTTGGGTATACTAGTTTTTGGAGCCTTATCATAAGTTATTTTGTTAGATAAGCTTCAGATTTGGCTTCAGTACTGACTAATCTAATGTTTATGCACAAATATAGTATTTTGTAGCTTCCTATTAAAAACATGAATTTAAAAGATAGATTTGTGAGGTGTGTGCTTATATATGCTGAGCACTGTATATGTGATTTAAAGCAATAATATGCCATTATTATTTAGTCACAAGACAAGCGTTACTCTTAGCACAATTATAGATAATTAACAGAATTATGTTAATTAGTCAGATATCTATGTCTATTAAATTTATCATAAGCCCAAAACCTAAATCGAAATATTTTTTTTTAGAACCAAATGAAATAGCACAATTTCAGAGCAGGCCATTTCAATTTAAGGTCTAAGCTGTAACAGTTGCAAGTTTACGTTTAATAAAAACTTGATTTAAACACAGTTTCTCGTGAGTTTGTTTTTACTAAATTGTATTTGACTTTCTCTCTGCATGAACACACACACACACAAACACACACTCATTTGAAAAGTAACTGGTCCACTGGTAGACGCGGGCGATAATCATGTGGATTGAGTGCCGACACATAATTTTACATATTACTTATGATATAAATAAACAATGTATATGTAATTTTTGGTCTACAATGAAAACGCTATATTCTATGTTTTATTTAATTTACAGTTAGAATTATTAAATTAAATTATTAAATTAAATTAAAAATTGTATTAAATATTTAATTAAATTACTTTTAAATTAAACCAAATATATTTTAGTCAACTAAATATAGAGTAGATTTAGTCGACTAAAATCTTATAAAATTTAGTCGACTAAAGACTAAAATATGACGAAAACTAATATGGAATTTTTAGATTTTATTCGATCTAAATCATAATTTGCTTTCAAAACTAACACGGTATGAATAAAAACTGACCGTATCAGATTTACTGTAACAGTAACTGCATTTTGTATTAGAAGAGACACAGCAGCAAATGTGCACAAGTCTCTTTTCAGTCATCTCCACTAAAAATGTCATACAAATTTAGTAAGCCTGCTATTGCCAGTAGATTGCAATTTGTACATTAGATTGCAGTTTGTACATTAATTAATGCACTGCTTCATAAAAAAATAGTTTTTATTAACTCATAGATAAAAAAGAAGGACACAATTTTACAAAATGGAGCTGTGTAAAAGATATTCGACTTTGAAATGTAGTTAAGTTAAAGTAAAGATTATAATAATATATTTAGATCTATTAATTTAAATTTTAAAATGACTTATGAAAGGTGTTGGCTTTCATGTGGATGCACAGCAATGACTCTATCCTGTACATCACATATTTAGGAAATTCATAGGAATAATTTAGTCAAGGGGTTCTTAATTTTGGTTCTGGAGGTCTGGTGCCCTGCAGATTTTAGCTCCAACCTTAATCAAACACACCTGGATTAGCTAATCAAGCTGTAACTAGAAGCATCCTTGCATGTATGTTGAGGCAAGTTGGAACCAAAATCAAACTGATTTAGTCAGTTCAAGCTAAATAACATTTGCAGATGTTCTAAAATATTAACAAATATCTTGGAACAGAAATACTGTAAACTTTATCTACATGGACATATGGACAAACTATAAGTTCATGGACATATATATTATTGTTAACAAATGCTAAAATGATAACTAAATGGAAAGTCAATAAAATTAAATAAGAAAAAGAATCAAATAAAATATGTTTTGTCTCCAAAACAGAGTTATGCTACTGAAAAAAGTGTTGCATGCAGAACTGTTGCAAACAATTTATTTGTGTTGAGTTTAAACAAACAAATTAAGTTGAGTAATGTTCAACTTAATTTCTTTGTTTAAATTCAGCCCAAATAAATTGTTTACAACCACTTAACGTAAAAAAATTGAGTAAATCTAAGGAATCATCTTTGAATAATTTTTTTCAGTGACATCATAACAATTCTAAAGTACTGCATTGTGACTTACTTATCGCACAGCTTACAGGAGTTTTTATTAACAGGGTAATGATTTTCCTGGCATTTGCACTGTCTATTCTCTTCCTTAGTGCCTGTCAAAAAGACAAACATAACCAAAGGTAAACAATAAAGCAAATTCAAGATTAGTATAAAACAGTTCATATAACTCGAGGGAAGCATGAGGAACTTACAGTTCTGAATTTCAATTTGCCCATCTCCACACTTTTTACAGCGAGAGCATTCCCATCCTAAATCACCTAGCTTCTTCTTGTAATAATCAGTATCACATTCACACACCCTGTTGGAGTAGGGTGTGCAGGGTGAAGACTCCCTGGAATGGGCTGGATGTAAATGACAGATGCACAATATATGAGAACATGGTAAATGCCAAACAAAATTTGCTGTGATTTTTTACACCAACCCTCCACATGTTAAAGAATAATTACAGCTCAAAAGGCTATATGCACAGCTAGTTTTTTCAGCCAATGATGAACTTCCGGTGAAAGCTTATTGCGACTATTTTAATTTTCATAAGTTTCCTTTTAAAGCGCCAATGTTTTAATGTGATCCAAATATAATCAGTTAAATAGACTTAAGCAGTTATTTAGTTGTTCAAGTGTAAAAAGAGATGAAAGACAGTTTAAATGTAGGTGCCATCATTAGCAGCAGGCTAGCACAGAAATTCCATTGAATACTAAGGTAAAATTAATTTCCATATTTTAAAAACATTTTTTAAAAATCAGATCTTAAACGCGGCCATTATGTATGGAATGACAATGCCATGGGGCTTGCTGACTGAAATTAAAAGTTAGTGTTATTAAAAGATTGTCTTTATGACAATCAATATAATTAATCAATAAATCCATATTTCTATATCTGTTTTTCCCCAGTTAAATGACAATCCAGTGCTATTTTGGACAAACATTTAATGTTTAAAAGAAAATATTTTTATGGTTGGGTTATCTGTCTCCTAAATAATAAGAAATAAAAAAAGTCTTTACGTTTTGTGCATTGCTGGCATCTGAAGCAGTTTGGGCTATAGTTTGCTTGTTCCAGGTAGGTTCCTTCATCACATTTCTCACATTTTGACCTCATGTTTTCTGCACTGCATTCCTGTTTTAACTTATACCCTAAAAATGAATTGTAGAAAGGAAGAGAAAGAGGCAGAAAGCTGAACAAAACATTTCTTTGGAAAACGCACACTGTTCTTTCTGGATAAGGGATAAATGTCAACAGTGTTTTGGCTTTTATTAAACATTCTAACCAAAAATTCAGTCTCATTCATTCATTTTCCTTCAGCTAAGTCTCTGATTATCAGTGATCGCCACAGCGGAATGAACCACCAAACTAGCATATATTTTACGCAATGGATGCCCATGCAGCTGCAACCCAGTACTGGGAAATTCATACGCACTCATTCAAACATACACTTCGGCCATTATCGCATGTCTTTTGACTGTGGGGGGAAACCGGAGCATGCGGAGGAAACATGGGGAGAACATCTGAACTCAACACCAAAATGCCAACTGAAAGTTCAGTTTCATAAAGGACTGAATTAATTTTCTTTACCTTGATGGCATTTATCACAGCAGAATCCTTCCTTATTCCAGTATTCATTTTCAAGACAATTTCCCTTCATAGTCTTGTTTCCACCAAGTCCTGATATTGTATATAACTGGCTGGTTAGAACCTGTGGGGAACAGAAATTGAATTTGGCTAAAATTACAAGAAAAGTCACAGTGGCTATGCTTTGAATAGAATACAATTGGAATGTATGCTGTGCCCTGTCTGTACAATAGCTACTTTATCTCTATTTACTTGACAATATACAAACATTCTGAGAAGTCATTCCTTACATCATATATTAATGTAAAGTTTTGATCTACTTTAAAACTTTATATAAATTTTAAATGTCTAATGTTACCTTTGTTATATATTTTTTGTCTGTGTGGTAAAAGTTTTAGAGAATTATGTTATCAGCCAATCAAAACACCTCGTGATGTCAGTCAATGTTGAAGCCATACAAGAAGATTAAATACTCACGGAAGTATTTTAAGTAATAACTTGCATGGTGACAAGGGCTAAGTGCTTACCAGAAACAAACACGCAGTCAGTTGACATATCCTCATGACAGCTAGGTGGCGCAGTCCTGCTCCCTTCAAACTGTCCGTAAAGGGCGGTGGGTCGATTCATAAAATAGAGAGGGCATTATTAGGCTACAGTATGTGAATGACAATATAAGAATGACAATTCTAATCTCACTATTATCTATTCAAGAAACACCAACAGTTCTGCAACAGCAAACAGCATGATCTTTAATTTCCTTGTATCCTTTATCCAGGCGAGAATATCTAACCTGTTGCGAAATAGTAATGGTTCTAGCATTCGCAACTAAACCCCACATAAAATCTTAAATACAGTTTTGATTGTGCCAGTCGAGACCGTTTCACATATTGTGCCAATCGCTTTAACATTTTCTCCCACTTCGTCCAGTACAGTATTACGCCCCCACAGTGACATTTGTGTTGGCAATCTTTTTCTCCGCGAAGATTTTATCAAGAGCTTGAACTTACCTCTACTCATGGCGATCCAGCATTTTCATTGAGTTCTCTTGGAAAGTTGTTTTTTTATCATTACCGACTGAGCTGATACAATTATATAGAAATGCGTATTTTTTTAAAAACGTGAGACTGCTGTATCGCTGTCGTCCATTTCCTCAAATAAGGGCAGTGTTTTACTGGAAATGTTAAGCGTCACGTAACGCTCTGCTCCTCCTTTTTACATGGAATTGGAGAATTCGAAAGCATTTCAGCTTTAAGAAAGGCACAGCATTCAAGCTGCGCAGTATTTATTTGAAAAGTATTTATACAGTATTTACAGTGAACACGTTCTTTAGGAAAGCGTTAAAGGCATTGTATTGTATTGCATTGTATTTGTTGAGCTTTGGGTAGAATATTCACAACCTCTTTATTAATTATAGAAAACCTAATCATATAAATTAATGGATTGTTACAAACAAATGTAAAAAAAGTATAACAAATAATAGATTATTCACAGTTACAAACAGTTTCCCTTAAAATGAATACATTGTATATTATAAAACAATTAAGTATGTTTTTTTTCTTTTGTAGGAGTTTCTTATTTGTAAAAAAAAAACGAAGAATGTTCTGTTTATTGTTCCAAATTGAGAAGCATTGAGGATTGCATTACCAGAACAAAGACGTGAAGATGTGTACCCATAGTAGAAATCACTGTTTGGCTCATACAATACAGAATGACATTCCAACCACAATGGTTGTAATTTTTTACATCAAAGGTGGTAAATATTTGCCGTAAATAATGGCATAAAAACTGCTTGACTATTCTTTTTTTTTTCACTTTGTTTTCCTGTTGCAAGTTTCTTTATTTCTGCAGTAGTACAATAGCATGTACATACATCTGCACTCTTTAGAAATAGAACATTAATTCTCAAAATATTAGAGCTAACATTGTAGATAACGCATTTTTGCATGCTTATTTTTATTTTATGTAATTTACGATACGAGAGGTGTCACTATTGTGTCTTTTGTACTTATTAGGAAGTAATAATGCACTTTTTAGGGACAAATATGTACATTTGAAAGTATACCTCCTTAGGGACAGCTGCTGTACCTTTATTTCTGCAAAACACTGTAAACCCTGCTATTGTCATTACTAAAGATATTAAGTTACTATAACTTGACATTACTTAAAATAGCATCAAAACTAAAACTGATGTGTTTAACTTACACATTAGGCAACAAAAACTTTTTGTTAATATTTTTACATTTTCATTTCTTTAAACGATTCACCGTGTCTCTGTTTAAAATGATTGATTGCGCTTGAAATTCTGCCTTGACAACTGTGCTGACTGGTTGATATACTTTATGTTACAGTACACTCTCAGAAATAAAGGTATTGAGCTGTCACTGGGGTGGTACCTTTTCTAAAGGTAAAAATTTGTTCCTAAAAGGTCCATATTAGTACCTCAAGAATACATATTAGTTCAAGTACATAAAGTACAAAAGTGTTCCTCTTAAAATTTGTAGGTGGTAATATATACTTTTGAGGTGCCAATATGGACCCTTCAAGTACAAATGTGCACCTTTTTAAAAGGTACCACTCCAGTGACAGTTCGTGTACCTTTATTTCTGAGAGTGTATATGACAACAGGTGGTGATTCTTCTTGTGAGGCTGAATTTTGCTAAAGCGCAGCAGGACAGAGGCACTACCTGAACCCAACTGATGAAAGATGAAAGTTAAATTAGTAAATAGATATTTAACTTCTTATACATTTTTTTTATTGGTATATACAGGGGTGACACGGTAGTGCAGTGGGTAGCACTGTCACTTCACAACAAGATGGTTGCTGGTTCTAGTCTCGACTGGGTCAGTTGGCATTTCAGTGTTGAGTTTGCATGCTCTCCCCATGTTGGCATTGATTTCCTCCAGGTGCTCTGGTTTACCCCACAAGTCCAACGACATGTGCTGTTGGTGAATTGGAGAACCTAAATTGTCTGTAGTATATGTGTGTATGTCCTAGTCTTCCAGGTTGGGGGTTGAGCGTTGGGCCTTGTAACGTCCCACCTCGTAAAAATTAGATGTCATGAAACACCAACATGGTGCTGCTAAATATCAACTTCGATGGAAATGGCCCTGGGAATGAGTTTAGTCTATAAGCCATTTTATGTTATCTGTAATTAAACATTTAAGTTAATTCAATGAAGAATCACTCTCCTCAAATAATTTAATCTCAACTTATTAGGGTTTACAGTGTATAGTTCCAAACAGGCTGGTTGGCAATGTTGTTTGCAAATGTTTGTTCGGCACTATGGATTCAAGAAACACTGAGTTGTTGAACTGGGACGAACAGTTGGATAGAACTCACAAACATAGCTGACTTTTGATGCTTTTGAGAAACCCACGTGCAGATTTTAAGTGTTTAGCTTGATTCCATCCCGACTGAGGACATTAAAATTGTTTGATATTTTCAGTCTTTTTAGATTACATATTATGATGCACCAATAATTTTGTCCTGAATGCTCCAGTTAGTCAGATGTCTAAATCTTAAATAAATAAGCTGTCTGTCACACAAAGCATTCATATGGCTTCAAATAAAGACAAACACTCATATAGAACATTTTATTAAATATATATGATTATAAATTGAATACTTGCTTGAGAGTATATTCTTATTTCTCACTGTGCATGCGTTTTATGTTACAAAGAAAGTATTTAAATAGAACAAAAGAAAAGCTGATGGAATATGAGTTAATAAAGCTCTGATTCTGTTGACTGCTAGCCTGCAGGTTACGGTTAAAGCAGTTTTGTTATAGGAAACAGAATGTAGATTCTCTTAGAGCTGCAGACTGGGCTGAAAAAACAACTTCCTCAATTCTCAAACCACATCCTCTCAGGTTCCCTTGTGACCTGCAATGTGACGATGGAGATCGCCAAAAATGCCCACAAACTATTATTGTGTAACTTGGTGCAAAGACTAATTAAAAATAAAAACAAAAAATCTACCATGCTGCTACAAAATATACACTGACATTGCAAATTAAAAATAAATAATTTTGTTTAATGTAAAAAGTTATGTTTAATTTGCAGTGTAGTCGGACACCACTTGAGCTATTTATTTCACTAGCTAAGAAAGGAGGAATTTATTTATTATTGTATTAATATGAGAAGGGGTCGACGCAGTGGCGCAGTAGGTAGTGCTGTCACCTCACAGCAAGAAGGTTGCTGGTTCGAACCTCAGCTCAGTTGGCATTTCTGTGTGAAGTTTGCATGTTCTCCCTACACTCGCGTGGGTTTCCTCCGGGTGCTCTGGTTTCCCCCACAGTCCAAAGACATGCGGTACAGGTGAATTGGGTAGGCTAAATTGTCTGTATTGTATGAGTGTGTGGATGTTTCCCAGAGATGGGTTGCAGCAGGAAGGGCATCCGCTGTGTAAAAACATGCTGGATAAGTTGGCGGTTCATTCCGCTGTGGTGACCCTGGATTAATAAAGTAGCATGTATTGATGCTCGAGTGACGTCACTGGCGTCACTGTCTCCGTTCGGTCACACACTGTGTGCTTGAAGTTTGGACTTGCTATTTACTCGCAATTTAAATCTTAATCATTAAATTCTTCCTCATTCGCTAAGTATTTGTCTCTCCTACTTAGGGTGACCAAACCCTTAATACATTTATACAAACAAAGCTGCTTTAAAAACGGTCTGTCCCTCGAGCATCCGCCTGTTGTTTGTAGCTTTAGCCTGCTAGCGCCGCTGGTCAGCTAAAGCTACCGACCTCTTTAACCATACACTTTTGACTTACTGGCTTTGCTCTTTACCCCGTAAAATGTCGCTTCCGTCTCTGTCCTTGTGTGCAGGAGAAGCATCGATGGAGGCGTTGGAGCTGGAGCTGGAAGAAGTGGAGTCCCAGATCCGCGCGCTGGTGGTAAGACGGTTGCGGCTACGGGAACGGCTTCTCGCCGTACCTAATGCTAAGGCCGTCTCATCACCTAAGGTACGTGGAAATTACAACCACATCATTCCCTCTACCTCAACCCCGCGTTCTTCTCTGTCCAGGCCCAGCGCACCCGGGGCGCGGCTCAGCCAGGCGTCGTTCACGCCGACACCCGGCTACCACGGCGCCTGGGTGCAGCCGCGCAAGGTGCTTCCCAGATCCCGGGGCAGAACGTCTCCGCCTGTGTTCGAGATCTCCACGGAGAACCGCTTCTCCCCTCTCCGCGAGTCGGGTCCCGATGTGGCCATCATCGGTGACTCGATCGTTCGTCACGTCCGTGCCGCCTCCTCAAAAGGTAATAAAGTACGTACTTTCTGCTTTCCTGGTGCCCGTGAGAAAAATATTTCTACACAGATTCCAACCATCCTGGGCGCTGCCGAGAGCCCTGGTGCCGTTGTCCTCCACGTGGGGACAAACGACACCGGGCTCCGGCAGTCGGAGATCCTGAAGAAGGACTTCAGGAGCCTGATCGAGACGGTTCGACGCACCTCGCCCGCCACGCAGATCATCGTTTCTGGGCCGCTTCCTACCTACCGCCGAGGAAATGAAAGGTTCAGTAGACTTTTAGCTTTGAATGAATGGCTAATAACATGGTGTAAAGAACAGAAATTGCTCTTTGCTAATAACTGGAATCTTTTCTGGGAGCGTCCTAGGCTCTTCCGTCCTGACGGCCTGCACCCGAGTCGAGCCGGAGCTGAACTCCTGTCGGACAACATCTCCAGACTACTTCGCACCATCTGACTAGCAGGTAAAAATTCACAAAATTCACACTATAGCCACCTAGACTCTTGTTCACCCCACTTAAACATCAGTAACGCATATCTGGCGAATCCTATAGAGACTGTGTCTGTTCCTCGTATTATTAGATTAAGAAATAAACGTACTGTGTGCTCCAGGAAAAATCTAGTAAGAATCAAACCAGAAAAACCAGTAGAAAGTGAAAATACAAATTTCGTAAAACTTGGTCTCCTAAACATCAGGTCACTTGCACCTAAAGCACTTATCATTAATGAAATAATAACAGAAAACAATCTTAATGCACTCTGTCTCACTGAAACCTGGCTGAAACAAAATGACTATATTAGCTTAAATGAAGCAACTCCTCCAGGATTCTTATATAAACATGAGGCTCGTCAAACTGGTCGTGGTGGTGGAGTTGCATCAATCTTTAGTGATTTCCTTAATATTAA